TCTTTTTTTTTTGAGACGGAATTTCGCTCTTGTTACCCAGGCTGGAGTGCAACGGCGCAATCTCCGCTCACCGCAACCTCTGCCTCCTGGGTTCAGGCAATTCTCCTGTCTCAGCCTCCTGAGTAGCTGGGATTACAGGCACACGCCACCACGCCCAGCTAATTTTTTTGTATTTTTAGTAGAGACGGTGTTTCACCATGTTGACCAGGATGGTCTCAATCTCTTGACCTCGTGATTCACCCGCCTTGGCCTCCCAAAGTGCTAGGATTACAGGCTTGAGCTACCGCACCCGGCCTACTTCTTTGTTATTAATAAAAACTTGTTAGTTTTGAAACTATAAAGCCAAACAATGTAGGCACATAAAATATTCATTTTGGATTTGAAAGTATCATATCATGTATAGTATATCCATATCTTCTTTTTCCTCTTATCTGAAAATAGGATTTTCTCATTTGGGGTTCTTTTGTTGTTTTTTGAAAATCATTAGCTATTTTGAAAAATATGCCAGATAAAATTACCTGAAAATGTTCATTCCCTAATATAATACCAAACACACAGGTATGAATGTTGCCTCATTACTTTTCTTCTCTTAAGTTTTAAGCAGGGTCTGAAAACCCTTGGTGTTTTGGAGAAAATTCAAGCTTACCCAGAAGCATTTTATAGTATCCTGTGCCATAAACCTGAAAGTCTTTCTGCAAAAATCCTTGGTGATCTTTTTACAGTACATACATTACCTGATGTAAAAGCTTTGGGATTTTGGAACAGTTACTTACAGGCTGTTGAAGGTATATGTGTATTTTATTTTAAACAATCTCAAAATATTTGTTTCGCCATATTTGTTAGGGGTTCGTGTGTGAGTTTTGCCATTTGTTATTAAGATGCTAACTCTGTATTTGCAAATGAAAGTTATTTCAAAGCAAATTTATATGACTGAGTTAAAAATGATAAGAGAAGGTTACAGAGTAAATTTATGTTTTGCAAATTTTTTTCTGTATATAAGTTCAGGTGAAAGGCATTCTTTCTAGAAAACATTAATGTCACACCGTAGAACAGTCTTAATCCTAATCATCTATTTCATCATTTTCAATTTGAGTTAAACTAAATTATTCTTCATCCATTGGTTAGGGCTATAACAATGATTATCATTGAGCATTACCAGTGTAAACTCATTCTGCTTAATAAAGTTGAAAAGAATTTAACTTATAGTTGAAATTTTGTTTAGCTAGATTTTTGTTTTTTTTTTTTTTTTTGAGACGGAGTTTCGCTCTTGTTACCCAGGCTGGAGTGCAATGGCGCGATCTCGGCTCACCGCAATCTCCGCCTCCTGGGTTCAGGCAATTCTCCTGCCTCAGCCTCCCAAGCAGCTGGGATTACAGGCACGCACCACCATGCCCAGCTAATTTTTTGTAATTTTAGTAGAGACGGGGTTTCACCATGTTGACCAAGATGGTCTCAATCTGTTGACCTCGTGATCCACCCGCCTCGGCCTCCCAAGATTTTTGTTTTTTTACCAATTTAGTTTTTCTGTCTGAATTTATTGAACTAGTGTACAAATAGTAATGACCTAGAAATAGTCAAATATACAATAAGTAATTGTATTAGTCCTTCTACTTTGAGATTCATCACTGAATGTAATGTTTGCCTGTTACTATACCTGACTTTGTGATTTAGTTTGCCCAAAACAAATGTGGAGTCTTCAGTATTCCAAGTCTATTTGGAGAAGTATCTATGATGATAGCAATATGTAACATGGATTTACTTTACTTTCTTTTTCTTTTTTATTGGTAAATTTTTTCAGATGGCAAATCTACAACAAAAATGGAAGACATTCTGATTTTTGCAACTGGTTGCAATTCCATTCCTCCAGCTGGATTTAAACCCACTCCTTCAATTGAATGCCTGCATATGGATTTTCCTGTTGGAAACAAGTGTAATAACTGTTTAGCAATACCAATTACCAATACATATAAAGAGTTTCAAGAAAATATGGACTTCGCCATAAGAAACACTCTAAGACTAGAAAAGGAAAAAAATTCTCATTACATTTGACATTAAAATGTTTCCTTGAACAAAGAGAAGCTTCTTTAAAAGCTGCTATTGGCGACTCTCTCTTCTTTTAATAACCTTTTCATCATCACTTTGAACAAACTAGGTAGCTTCTTGGCCTATTAAAATTTATGATATGAACATAAAGGAATTTTATGGCCATTTAGGCTAAAAAAATTTTTTTTGTTAAAGCATACTAGTCAAAATTCGTGATAGTTTCTCATTTTCTTGATATACATACTTCATAAACCTCATTGTAAATACTCTCAAAATGGCTGTATGGATTTTACTTAGATATAGTAGCATGGTATATAAAAGTAAACACTTCTTTACTCACTATTTTTGTAAATTAGGATTACATATAGAATGCCACCATTTTTCCAGATTTATTCAATTTTCAAATTATCCCCCATTTTATTTTAAAGCATTAAGTAGAAAAGCTAATTGGTTAAATTTTGTTATATAAATGAGAGACATATATTCTGGGGTTTGTTTTACTATGCATGCTTTTCTAGGATGGCACCAAATTAGTTGTTTAAAATTTATAAAATTACTGATTTATATTAAGATGACCCACACTGCAGTTAATTATGCCTAGTGGGGAGTATTATATGAAGAACAGAATTAAGCTGGGCACAGTGGTATGTGCCTGTAATCCTAGTTACAAGGGAGGCTGAGGCTTGAGAATCAAGCAGTGTTCAGCCAGCCTGGGCCATATAGCGAGACCCCATCTCAAAAAAAAAAAAAAGCAGAATTGCACAAATTTTCTGGAATCTATGGACATTCCATGAGTTTAAACCCTTTTTGGGTTGATAACATATAGTTGAAAATACCTAAGAAGGTGTGTCTCCTTTAAAAGCCTTGGCTTTGATAGTGGGAAGTTTTTGATGTTGTTTTTCTCTATCTTATGTTTGGTATTCTGTATGTTGGATCCATAATCATTTTAGGTATTTAAATGATCTCTGAGGATTGGTAAGTTTGGCCATTTGACCATTATTTATTATCAGGATGGTTGTATGCTAAGGTCTTCATTGCTCTTGAATGATAATCTGTTATATAAGCAATGTATAAATAAAGTAGAAAGGACAAAATGAAAAACCCATTCTAATGTCACCACTCAAAGATCTAAGTCCTGTGTTTCTGTGTATCCTTCTATATACTGTTTCCTTTATTTTTTAACTTTGATAATGGTGCTAAAAGACAAAGAATACCTACAAGTAACAAATTACCTACTAACAATGTGAAGATATATATTCCATAGTCTTATCCCCATATTTATACTCCCACAAAAGAAAAAATAGGAAAAAAATGTCCGATGTTTTTAATCTATTATCAAATATAAATGAGGTAATGGCTCAGTTTCCACAAAAGTAAATCATTATGAAAGGTAAATCATTATGGGAAGTGGAATGTTTTAATTAACCACATTTTTCTTAATATACAAAGCAGGTGTCAGCTGTTGTCATATTCTCACCCTTAAATATTAAATTATCGATATTTTTTAAGAAAAATAACAGAAGAGATTTGATAAATACATATCCTATTACCAAAGGAAAATTAAATAACCCTAGTGTACTTCTCTTGTTCCATTATGTCTTTTTCAATCTACACACTAACATAACTAGCAAATTAAAGTATTACTTTAACTGGAAATACTTAAGAACATTAAACAAGGCATTTTTTTGTCTTTGGTTGAATTCTTTTGGATTATCAATAGTAATTGAAGGATCAATTATCAAAGAGTTTGAATAGCTAATACAAACCTCAAACTCACCATGCAGTTTTTATTCCAAATATGTTGATAAGAAAGATATTTTGTTTCCTAATCTATCTAGTTTTTATAACACTTAAAAATCAATACAAACCAAAAAACCTAGTTAAAGCTATTTTCTGGCTTGTAGTTTTAATTACTTTCCCCGAGGGTAGAAATTAAAACTCGGAGGTCACACATACACACTTTGTTGGGGTGGCGGTGGCAGGTGGAGAGGCAGTGTACTTAGCTACAATTAAAAACAGTATTTCAATTTCTCATTTTACTTATTTTATATGTAGACAGGGCCTTCATGATAAGATAGTGTAAATAATATAGGATTATTGGTGTTTAAAAGTGAAGCATAAATATTTATTTTGTAAAATGTTTTCTAGTTTGAAGGTTGTTCCATTATTATGATTTTTAGATTAATCTGTATGGTCAAGGAACATCAGAGAAACCTGTAGGTTATTTACTTTTTGCAGTGTCATTTTGTCATATGGTTGGTATTATAATTGTTCTCTTCTTATTCATTTTATAACCAGTGCATAATTCTTACATTAAATTTTAAAAAAGAATTATGCTATAAATCTTTATAAATATGTATATATATTTCTTAAGTATTTCAATTGCCTAAACATTGTATGTTTTAAAGCTGTTTTCTCTTGCTGTCATTGTTGAAGAAAACTATAAATTGACCTGTAATGCATCTACTGTTAATGGTGGGTTACTTTGATATTCATTGTTTTTAAACAGTTTCCAATATGGAAACTTTAAGACCTTTTATACAGTTCTCTATTCAAGATAAAGATTCTTTAGAATATATCACCAGAAATTTACAATTTTATGCTTTGTAATATTTAGTTTCTATAATTTGAGAAAGTGACTTCTTTTGTTTGGGTTAAGTAAAAAACCTTTATTTGATTACCAGCATGAGAATTTACCTTGGTTTGTATTTTATGCATTTGTAAATTTTTTCCCTAATTCTATGGAAGCTATTTTGTATTCACTGCTAAATACTAAGTCAAGGGGAGTATAATAGGTAAGTTGTTTTTCAGTCACTGTGCCTTTAGCATCCAGTCATTATAAGAAAATGATCAGAACAAAATCATCACATTATAAGCATGTAATTATTTTATATAGTGATTATCATGTACTGCATTGTTACTTTTACAATAAGCTATTCAACTAGTTTTTATGGTTCAAGTAATTCAATACAGTTCCATGCTTCAAGTAAGGCAATGCAAAACTTAACACATTTAATAATTAATTACTTGAATGTAGATTGTCGTTTAGGAAAATTTGGATTGCCTTGCAGAGATTCAGTTTTCAAGTTCTGATTTTGACCATTATCTTTTCTAATTTCTAAATATATCCCAATACCTACACTGTACCTACAGAATGCCAGGTATTATGCTGGGTGTTAGTTTATATATCAGCCTATTTTCCTCCCTTTTTAAAGACTGCCAGATTAGCCAAAAAGCATGAAATTTATAACAAAGTTTTTGAAATAAATAAATGTGTTTATGCCACTAAATATAAACTGCCTGAATAAACTAAGTTATTTGTTGGGGTTTAACAAGATTAAGATTCTGACGAAACTGAAAGATACAAGATACCTTTACTCCACATTTGAGAGATCTTGTTAGCAAGCAGTTATTGTCTAACACCGAGGAACCTATAGAAATGAGGGAATTTGTGTTAAAACTATCCCCTAATGTAAATAGCTTGCCAGAATAAATTATTTAAGCTGAAAATCTGGAGTCAGATAAATGGCTATACTAAATTAGGTTAATGAACAATCTGTAGATATAGATTATTTTCAGTCTTTCTGATTCTAATAAAACAAAAATACCTTAGTCTTAGCCTTACAAGGGCTATTTGTCTAGGGTTACTGTTCTTCTGTGGGGTATATTTTTCTACAAATTTACTGCCCACACTCTATGCACTAGGTCAGGAGTTTATTTCATATGCATGTAGTATACATCAATTTTAAAATTGTCTTAAGTGGTTTTAATATGACTTGCAGTCTTGAGAGGGAATCTGTGATGGAACTGAAGTGGTTCAATGATGGATTTGCATTTGAAACTGGAAGTACCCAAATGAGCTAAATTGGGTTCTCAGATACTTACATTTCATGGAGACTATATAATGCAGTAGAACTTTCCCATAGAGCAGAAACTAATTTCTGTTTAGTTGGAACACACCTGGATCATTGATGCCTTCAAAATATTAGTAACAGTACTGGAGAAACAAAAGTATTTATTCCAGTTCATTTCTTAATGATATGCCAGTTAGCTATAAAAATGAGAGATTACGTAATTTTTTTTTAGACAGAATCTTGATCTGTCACCCAGGCTGGAGTGCAGTGGCGCAGTCTCAGCTCACTGCAACCTCCAGCTCCCGGGTCCCAAGTTCTCCCTGCCTTAGCCTCCCCAGTAGCTGGGATTACAGGAGCCCACCACCATGCTTGGTTCATTTTGATTATTTAGTAGACTTAAGTTTCACCATGGTCTTGAACTCCTGACCTCAGGTGATCTGCCTCCCTCCACCTCCCAAAGTGCTGGTATTACAGGCGTGAGCCACTGAATTACATAATTCTTAAAGGCTGTAGGTTCAATGCTAGGACACTTCCTAATAGCATTAAAGATAACCTATTTTAAATGACACAAAAAGTTTTTATTAATGAAAAAAGCCAATGTTTTACACTATAAAACAATCTTAAATAATCGTTTGGCTAACTTCATTTATGTAATTTTGGAAAGTTTTTGAGGCAGTCTGATTTCATTTCAGAATTTGATGCAACTTCATAATGAAGTGTCATCAATGAACTATTGAAACCATATGGGAAATCAGCTGTCATTGTGTATCCATTCTTAACATACAGTAAAATGTATGGATTAAGTTAGAAATCATCTATCCCATACATTTTGCCATCACGTGGCTTCAAGTGTACATTAAGCCGCCAGCACAAGACCAGCCAGGCCAACATGGTGAAACGCTACAAAAAATGAAAAATTTGGCCAGGCGTGGTGGCCCCTGCCTGTAGTCCCAACTACTGGGGACGCTGATGTGGAAGGATACCTTGGGAGGATCTTCTCAATTCTGTAGGTCGAGGCTACAGTGAACCAAGATTCTGCCACCGCACTTAAGCCTGAGCGACAGAATGAGACACTGCCTCAAAACAACAAAAAACCAGCACATAAGCCTGGCCTGATGATGTGCCCCTGCAGTTTCTGGCTACTTGGGAGGCTGAAGCAGGAGGATTGTTGGAGCCTCGGAATCTGAGGCTGCAGTGAGTCCTGATTGCGCATTCCAGCCTTGGCAGCACACCCCCCACTACAGCCTGACTTCCCTCCCACGGTAATGTTTTGTGATTTTCCACGGGAAAGAGGAAAACTGCTAATTGCTCATTTTGTACTTCCCTGCGTCCCGTGTCCATGCCAGCAGAACGCCACCATAAAGCTATGCCATTTTATTTTAAGAGATGCGATTATGGTGAAACCCCGTCTCTACTAAAAATACAAAAATTAGCTGGGCATGGTGGCGCGCGCCTGTAGTCCCAGCTACTCGGGAGGCTGAGGCAGGAGAATTGCCTGAACCCAGGAGGCGGAGGTTGCGGTGAGCCGAGATCGCGCCATCGCACTCCAGCCTGGGTAACAAGAGCACTCTGTCTCAAAAAAAAAGAGATGCGATTGAGAAATATGCCAGATTAGAGTAATGCTCCGTTTCTCCGGAAAAGCAAATGGAGCACTCCTGCTGCACTGAGAAACGAGAGCTAAGACTGACATGTTGCCTGTGTTTCGGGAGTTTTCATTTACTTCAGTCCTGTGGTCCTCATCTCCTGGAGTATTATCACCCCTTAAGTGCTCAGAGCTCAGTTTAATGTAGCTACGATTTGAGAAAATGTGGCTTGATTTGATAGGATAAAAATTCTTAGTCTTCTGCTAATATTACGGGCTACCAAGGCATTAACCTACACTGGGTCTCCCAGTTCTACCGAGAGCGAGGGTCTTCCTGGAGGAGGTGGGGTCTGGCCCACAGGCACCTCCTTTGGCCCCGCCTCTCCGCGCTTTGCTTCCGGGGCGATAAGGGCAGCCACGTCATCCCCCGGCTCCGCAAGCTTGCCGGGCAGTGGCTCGTGGGAGCCAAGATGGCGACGGCGGCGGTGGCGGCGGCGGCCTCAGCGGCCTTAGCCAGTATTCGGGAAAGGCAGACAGGTACTGAATTATTCTCTTCCCCTTGAAGCTTCGTGACTGCCACGAAGATATCCTTTTCTGCTTGTCGCCCTCACTCGGTCGTGGTGCGTGCAGCTCAGAGACCGATCTCTCAGAGTTCAGTCCAGTCCCTAGAACATCAAAAGCTCCTCCCCTTTGAATTTTTGGGGAGAAGATGCCATTAGCTTGAGGACTCGGTTCCTCCTGTGGTGCAGGAAAAGGAGCTTCAGCGGTGTGCGGTGGATACGGCCTGCTTTTTTCTTTTTCCTGGTGGGCATCCGAAGGCCATCACAAGATCTAGCAGTTGATACCTTCTTCTCTATTTTGCCACCTATAAGGTCTCCGCGTTGGTTTCTGTGCGTGGTTCAGTTTTAGTTTTGATTTTTGAGAGAACTCCCATTTTCTGGCACCTCCACCACAATTACAGATTTTAGGTATTTTCACAGCGGCTTGCTTTGCGCCACTTTACTTTGGAACAATCTTTTGAGGGTACTGCAGAAAAATGCCCGGTGATAAAGATTTCCTCCTTCAGCTTGCTGGAAGGAATGGAAGAATGGCAAAACAAATTAATAAATAGCTTTCTCATTTTAAGTGTTTGACAGATTATTGTTTCAAAATAATTTGTCTTCAATAGAGCGTGTTTATATAGCTTCCATTTAGGCAGAGAAATGTAAAAAGGAACATATTCTCGTGAGTTTGGGAGGGGTTTCCATCTTAGAAATTAGTTTTGCCTTATTTGAAAACTCATGACAACTTGGTTCATACCTGTTAGCTACAAACTAAAGGTTTATGCTTGTTAACTAATTGTCTTGAAAGTTTTCAAGCCATTTATTGAGAAGCTGATAGAAATAAGGCATCAAGAATGTGCATACTTGGAATTCTGTTTCCTGAAATTATGCTCTTATGATAGAAATATGAATAGGAAAATAACTATAATTCCTATGACGTATAGAAAGGATTTGGGCTATACTTGATTCCTTCCTTTGGCATTTACAGAAAAAATGATAGACTTCAACCTAGTAATGATACAAAGAATATTGAGTTGCGTTCTGCTTTTCCCAGTAGATAATTTAGTATAACCTATCCGGCGAAGTCAGGCATAACTAAATATAGGGAAGTTCAAATAAGATTCGGGGAATACCTGCCATTCACTTTATCGGTGTAAGCAAATAGAAGCTCCATGTGCTCCATGTGTCTTAACACTGTGATTCTTATGACTATACTACATGTTAAAATAACATGTCAGTGAAATTGTACTAATATAAGGGAGCTTTCTGAAAAATAAATTTGCATGGCAGTAAACTTGTATGCAGAAACTTTGTAGATCATTTAAATCTGATAATTTGTATTTCTGCAGAAATAAACATAATATTTTACAGAATAATTAGATAAATTGTGCTAGATCTGTTTTTTTTAATCAAATTTTTACTGTCATTGAATTCTGTCTCATTTTCAGAGGAAGGTAAATCCTTGTATATGTATTATAATGCAGAATTAGCTATTTTCCTCATTCATATTGAGAATGTTTTGGAAAGTAACTCACAATCCTCAAATATTCTAGATACCAGAATATTTGGGTGGATGAGATAATAGTTGGTATTTATTGAGCATTTACTATTTTTAGGCATTGTTTTAGGTGATTATGTATTATCTCCATTTTACAGGTGAGGAAAGTATGATAGAGGTAAACTAACATGTCTGTTTCTTGCTTTGACTGCCCGAAGAATCTTTATTGATCTTTTGAAGGTCATCCCACAAGCCATCTCCTTTCTTCCTGGTTCACTGCCTTCTCTATCCATACCTTCAGTTCAACAGGTGTAAACAGTTGCTTCCTGCTTTGTGTTACTGTTGTTCTTCATTAAATGCCTCCTCATTATAGGTTTTTGCTCATCTTCTCTGCCCCCGCCACCCATTGCAAGATCCCAGTACTGTTAGCATCTAGCTCCTTAGCTTTCAGTATTATCTGTATGTTGGTGATTCCCAAGTTTATATCTCTAGTCTGGCCCTCCCATCTGAACTCAGTCTACTCCATATCAATGAATGGCAATTCCATCCTTATAGTTGTTCAGGTCAAAAACCTTGAAGTTTTCTTGACTTGTCTCTTTCATATTGCTCATGTCAGATCTTCCAGTAAATCTTGTCAGTTCTACTCTGAAAATATATCCAGGATCTGACTGTTGTCATTGCTATTCCTGGGTCCTATCCACTGTGAATTTCTGCAGTAACCTATTTGGTCTTCTTGCTTTCCAGTCCTGTTTCCTTAATTATTTTCCACAAACTGATCATGCCATATGTTTGCTCAAAATCTATCATCTTCCCATTTCAACCATGATAAAAACCAAAGTGGTCTTACAGCCTTCTTCAAGGCCTTATACAATCTGGTTCCCACATATTTGGACCTCACTCCCTATTACCTTTCGCTTTCCTTGAACCCACCAGGAATGTTCCCACCTTCAAGCCTTTGTATTTGTTTCTTCTTTCTGGAATACTGCTACAGAGATAATCTCCATGGCTTGCTCCCTCACTTCCTTTAGCTCTTTACTCGAATGTTACCTTCTCAGGAGACCTTCCTTGATTACCCTGTTTAATACCCCAACTCCGTCTTCCCCTTTCCCAGTCTTACCTTTCTTCATAGCACTTATCATCATCTACATACCGTATGTTTTACTTTTTCTTTCTTTATTCCGCAGTTAGAATGAAAGCTACGTGAGAACAGGTAATTTTATTCACGTTTTGTTCAGTTGCTAGATCCCCAATAACTACAGTGCCTATGGTGAGCAATCACTAAACGTGTTGAATGAATGAATAGTAAGCGTAATATACAGTATTTGTTCAGTGCATGAGTGAAGAAAACATTCCAGGTAAAAGTGTAACTACTTTAACCAAGTCTAGAAATATGGGTACAGGTTGAGTATTCCTTATCCAAAATGCTTAGGACCAGGAGTGTTTTGGATTTTGGAATATTTGCATTATTCCAATCCAAGCACCAGCTTAAACATTTTTGCTTTTGGAGCATTTCAGGTTAGAGATATTAAGGGTTGGGATGCTCAACCTGTAGTATGTTTAGAGCCAATAAGGCAAATGGTTTGACATTTCAGCTAAAAGTCATGGTTTAAGCCTTGGGTAAACTCTGATAAAAGTAAAATCATGTTCTTGTAAACTCTGAACCCAGGCAATGCACTTCGTTAACAAATTCACTGCATCAATATACTTTTTAAGAAGTTAGCCAAGGCTCAAAGTTGGAGAAAATCTCAGATTGGGCTGAGAAAGCGAAATGTAGGATTATTTTGTTTGCTGCTACTGGCCCCTTTCAGTTAGCTAAGGCCTAAATGCAGTATACTAAACACCTGAGGCTCACATGGCAGCCCAGGCTTTCATTCTTCCAAGTTATCAGGCATCAAGAGTGTGAACAGCTGTTCCTAGAAACAGGGTTTCCTCCCTCTTGGGCATCAGTACTAGGGTGTTATTTCTTTATTGCCTGGAGGTGGGAGGAAGAGCTCTGCAAATGCACAGTGGGAAAGTTAATCCTGGAACCCCTTCCATGCCTCCTGTGTTATTTCAGTTTTAAGTATTAAACTGTTTTTTTGTTTAGATTATATTAAATATATTTGATATTGTAATATAAATAAATAAAATACATTTTATTTAATATAACACCTGTGGACCTCTGAAGTAGGTATTATTGGTAATGTGTATTATTGGCTGGACATTAGGTAACAACATTTTACCAAAAATTATACCTGTAGGTGTGTGGTAAACACACCTGATAGCAATAACTTAAGCATGTCCTGAGACTGACCCTGTATTGCATACCCACCTGGATATGTGTTACAAGCTAGGGAATCAGAGAATAGCCCACCTGGAGATTTATTCCTTGTCTATGAGGAACATCGGAGCCCCCAGCCCATCCAGTGAAACAGGCAGTGAATCAAGGCCCCGAGTTTTGGGTTGAATGAAGGTTGCCAGGTGGAGGTTATTAGGGAACTGTTAAGTGAAAATGCCGTGTAAACCACATTTTTCCATATAAACCTCTTTTTGCACACGTTTGTGCTTCTCCAGCCCAGCACATCGCTACTAAGCATACACTTCTCCTGTCCAGCCCACTATCACTGGACTCTCTCCCCTATATATTGCCCCCAGTAAAATCCCCTGTCTCGTTTCCTGGCTCTGGGTCTCTTAGGCCTCTCAAACATGGTACCATTTCGGCACAACAGTATGTACACACCTATAAGTATGCAAATGTATCACTAAAGTACAATCTCTTCAGTGATGGTGGTTTTAACAGCATTAGACCTACATTAGCAAACAAGCATTTTATAGAAGCTTTTCTTGTAAGTGAATTATTAGGCTATAAGTTGATATTCAGGGGATTTTAGTATTATATAGTTCTCTCATAGGAGTTTGGAGTATAGGTTATTCTATATTACTTAATGTTTTTAATAACCAGGTGGGTTTTAAGACTGCCAATTTTATAAAAATTAAGAGAGTATAACTCTTGAATATTTGGCCATCTCGGTTTCACAAAGAAGTATTTTAAGGGATTTTCATTTTCTATAACATTGTTACAGATGAGCAATAAAAACCACAAAATACTGTAACAGCATAACTGTGGTTTTTGATGTTGTGTATTTGCTTATCTGGAGTTATCAGTTATCTACTCTATGGGAAAGTCTGTTTTCCGAAGGGACAGAGAATTTTAAGCAACTTTTCAGTGAATCTGATAGGATAAATTGGTTGTAAAATATGCTCTTACATGACTATAGACAGATCTGCTGTGTGAAGGTTTTGTATATGAACCAGTTGAATATGCCATGGATAATTTTGTTTTTAGAAAGACTAATTCTTCTCACTGGACCCCTCCAACTTAAAAAAAAAAAAAAAAAAAAAAAAAGGATTGATCCTGATCTATGCTTTCAGCCCGACAATAAACAGACAACAGCCTCAATATGTTGAGGCTATTGCAGTTTCTTCCTGAACATTTCCCACAATTTCATCTTGGGACAGATGCTTATTGTATTTTGGGAAATCTCCCAAATACATGCCAGTTAGCTGTCGATGGAATAGTCTTACAGGATCTGACCCCTAGTTCTACATACAGTCATTTGCTTGATCAGTTTTACTAAAGTTGATTAATGTATTTTATTTTGGGGTAGTAAATAATAAATGATGGAGGGAAAATAAAATCCTAAAAAACAATGACAATATTTGATAAAACTTTTTATTTTCAGTGGCTTTGAAGCGTATGTTGAATTTCAATGTGCCTCATGTTAAAAACAGCACAGGCGAACCAGTATGGAAGGTAAGAATTTATCTTAACGGGAACTGATTTCTGTTTTTCTCAGCCCTCATTGGTGGTAATTAGAGGGAAATTATTGTAATATGGAAGAAGTAACACCTATTAATTATTATGAATGTTTTCTTTTTATTTAACATGATGTCTTACTATGAATCTTTTTGACAAACATTCTGTGGAGTGAGACTGGTGATAAAATAGTGATTTTCATCTAGGGAGTCCAGTTGATCTCTTGGGTATTATATCACTGATAGGTCTTTACCCTGGTTGATGTTTTGTTCCTTAGCTTTTCAAGTCCAGACTTTGGATTTTATAAGCTTACTCGGGGTTAGTCAGATTCAGAGGGCCTAGATTATTTTTAAAATCTCATGAGGGTATTATCTGTAAACTGTAACACCAGTTTATTAATTTATGAGATATAAAACTGTTAATTGAACCAGAAGGCAATCTACAATCTTGTCCTCTGAGAAATACTGGAGAGCCTTTAAAAATTCCTATATTTAGGCTTCTTCATTTTAAACTTTATGCAGATTCCATCTCTTTCTTCAGATATTATAATACAGTTGATTAGGTTTAAACTCACTAGTTCACAGTTACTTTATATTTCTCTCGCTAAAAATTAAGAACAAATCAACTTGTTTAGAATTTAGGGTGTTTTGAAAACTCTGTTCAGTCTTAGTAAGTCCTTTGGGTTAACTCTAAAAGTAGTTAAAGTTGTCTGGATTGAATTCATAGTTTAAACTCCAGAGTGTCCCTGGTTTTCCCCTTTCTGTTCTTTTGTGAGCATCTTCCTGTTGCATCTTTTTTTTTTTTTTTTTTTTTAATTTTTGAGACGGAGTTTCACTCTTGTTGCCCAGGCTGGAGTGCAATGGTGCGATCTCGGCTCACTGCAACCTCCGCCTCCTGGGTTCAGGCAATTCTCCTGCCTTAGCCTCCTGAGTAGCTGGGATTACAGGCACGCGCCACCATGCCCAGCTAATTTTTTGTATTTTTTTAGTAGAGACGGGGTTTTCACCGTGTTGACCAGGATGGTGGTCTCGATCTCTTGACCTGGTGATCCACCCGCCTCGGCCTCCCAAAGTGCTGGGATTACAGGTTTGAGCCACTGCGCCCGGCCTCCTGTTGCCTCTTATATAAACTATACTTGTTTGTTTCTAAGGCCAACATTGGGATTTGATTGAAATAGTTTGAGAATTTCTTGGGTACAAATTTTTGTCAAATACTTTTCCTACGCATAGACTTTTTATATCATAAAATTAATAATACACATGTATTGAGATTAAAAGAGGGAAGATTTTTAAAAGATGCAACATCAACCTTTTATAACTAAAGCAGAAAGATTTTTAGCCTCTCTAAAGGAAAGCCTGGCATTCAAGAAAAACATGTTTTCATAACAGCATATTTCATTCTCTCATCAGCAATTTCTTACTCCATAAAGAATTAATGGAGGTAGTTCCGAAAAACCCTTACCAGTTGAGCATCTCTTTTACTTGCCTTAACTGTGAAACTAATTTTGAGTTTAAAAGCCTAGTTGGAGTTCTTACCACTCCTCAAACTCAAAGTTTTAATACTTTGAGAATGTGAGGAAGTACATTTGATAGAATAAGGCTATCAAATACTCTTTAGGGACTTAATTTTTTTTTTTTTTAATGAGATGGAATCTCACTCTGTCTCTAGGCTGGAGTGCAATGGCATGATCTCAGCTCACTGCAACCTCTGCCTCCCAGGTTCAAGTGATTCTCCTGCCTCAGCCTCCCGAATAGCTGGGACTATAGGCGCCCAACCACGCCCAGCTAATTTTTGTATTTTTTTAGTGAGATGGGGTTTCACCATGTTGGCCAAGATGGTCTCAATTTCTTGACCTTGTGGATCCGCTCACCTTGGCTTCCCAAAGTGCTTGGATTATAGGCGTGACCCACCATGCCTGGCCAGAGACTTAATTTTTTTTAATGAGTATCTTTTTAACCTGAGATGCTTAAATTACAAAACTTTCAATTATAGTCATGGAACTTGTTACATATTAGTTTTGAAAGTGGCTAACTTTTACATCTCTGTTTTTAGGAAAGATATATGTGAACTGGAAAAAAAGTAAGAGTGTGAATATGAATTTGCTTTCAGTTCAAAATTGTTTATTATAGCTTAAGATAAGGATTTTATAGTCTCTATGTTTTTAAACCTAGATAAAGAATTTTATAAGAAGAAATTTATATAGTTATTTATTTATTTTATCCTGAGTAGTAATGCTTTAAGAATGTATTACTGCCTGGATGGACATTTGGGTGAATAATGATGGAAAATATTAAACTGAGGCAAGGGTAATAATTCTGTATATATGCTTTATTAAAATAAAATTTACTTCAACACTGTCTTAATATAGGTTCACTATTATTCACTGATAATGATGACACATGGTTTTTTAATAGGTACTCATTTATGACAGATTTGGCCAAGATATAATCTCTCCTCTGCTATCTGTGAAGGAGCTAAGAGACATGGGAATCACTCTGCATCTGTGAGTTTTTACATATTTCTAATAGTGGAATTCATTTTCAAATAACATTATTAAAGATTTTTTTGGCCACCCTGAAATCAAATTATTAAAGAACATTTATAGAGAAAAATAGTGTGAGGTTACAGTGTTGATATAGTGTTGAACATTTTTCCTCATATTTTCTTTTATTCAATTCTTTATTTCTGAGATTTTAAAAAAATCCTCAAATTTAAATTTCAGAATTTAAATTTTCTCCCTTGTGGCTTTTCCTACAGACTTGGTTTACCTTCTGTGTAAAAGAATAGAACTGGTAGTCTTAAGGTCTCTTCCAGCTCTAAAAGTGTTTTGTTCCTTTAATTTAAATACACAGATTCTTCTTGACCTACAGTGGTGGGGTTACATACCTATCAACTCATCATAAGTTGAAAATTTTGTAAGTCAAAAAATGCATTTAATACACCTAACTTACCAAACATCATAGCTTAGCCTCTCCTACCTTCAGCATGCTCTGAACACTTACTTACATTCACCTACAGTTGGGCAAAGTCATCTAACACAGAGCCTCTTTTATAATAAACAGTTGAACATCTCATGCAGTTTATTGACTACAATGCCGAGAGTTGAAAACAGAATGTTTGCATAGGTGCTTGAGGTATGATATCTACTGAATATGTACTGCTTTTACACCATCATAAAGTCAAAAAATCCTAAGTTGAACCATTGTAAGTCAGGGACTGTCTATACTTTTTTTTAAAAAAGGAATATCTTATTAATCATTAATATGAAAAATTTAAGTGACTATGAAGTAATGACTGTTAATCACCAGAGTTGGCTATCTATGTTGTCTTAACTGTTAAGTTTATTTGATTATATTGCTTCTGATATGTTTAATAAAAATCAAATTGCCGTACTTTATGGACTTGCTTAGTGGAACATTTGAAGAAGAGGCCAGGCGTGGTGGCTCATACCTGTAATCCCAGCACTTTTGGAGGCTGGGATGTGTGGATCACTTGAGGTCAGGAGTTTGAGACCAGCCTGGTCAACATGGTGAAACCCCGTGTCTACTAAAAATTAGCCAGGCATGGTGGTGTACCCGCCTATAATCCCAGCTACCTGGGAGGCTGAGGCAGGTAAATTGCTTGAACCCAGGAGGCAGAGGTTGTAGTGAGCCGAGATCATGGCACTGCACTCCAGCCTGGGAAACAGAGCCAGATTCTGTCTCAAAAAAAAAGACATTTGGAGAAGGACTATGTTCATGGATGGATACTAATACTTCCGTATTCTAAAAGAGTCCAATTTTATGGTGTTCTAACTTATTTGCGTTTTGTTCTATTTATGATGTTATAACCAATTTTTATGATATTATCATATATTGAATTGAAATGTACTCTTATTGGGAATATGGTTTTAGATTTTCAGTAAGTAACTTACCAGAATCTGGTTTGATGAACTCAGATTCTTCAGTTGTATAATTAGTGTTTATTAAAATAAGTAGACGATTGTGTCAATTCCAAATGGCCTTTTTTGTATTTCTGAAATTAGGACCTGTCTTATCACTGATGATATATCATAACTGGCAGTGTTTTTATTTCTCAGTAGTAATTAAATATATTTTAAAATTATAACCACCTTGAGTTTCATGAAATACGATATTCGATGAGTTTTTCCTTTCATTTTTATGTCAGACTGAAATAAGCAGATTTGCTTTGATAATGTGTTAATTCTTATGAACTGAAGTAAAGTTTAACTTGATGCCATCCTTGGAAATTGTGGTTTATTAATAAGCATTGGGTGCCACTGTCCCTATAACAAGTGTTTAACTTTTTTATTTACTAATGGAGAAAGTAAAGTTTAGAACGCTTAAGTGAATGCCTCACATTTGTACAACCAGTTAATAACTGAGCCATGGACACATTGCTTGACCTCTAATTCTGTGCTGTTTGTCTACTGAACTGTAGTGGCTCAGTAACAGTAACTAACAGAAGTGAGACCTAACTCAGTACTTCATTAAGGGATGACAGGATAGTCCACCAGTGTGAGAGTCTACTAATCTCTGCCTAACTTGCTACTTTGCCACCAGAGCATGGAAATATTACAGTTACCATGGTGAACTCTTGTGTACTTTGCCTTCAACCATTCTCCTCTATTTGCTGGAGAATACTGTATCATTACTTTATACTCTGCAAGCTGAGCCTAATTTGTAGGAAAAAGTAATTTCAAGTTTCCAGAATATGAAATGGTGGTTGTAGCCCATTAGGCAGTTGGACAAGCTGTGTAAAAAAGAAACAACCTATTGCAGCCATCACATTATCCTTCTTCGTGTCAGTTACAGCAGTTATTAAATACAGGCCCACTGGCAGCATGTGCCTCTTGCCTCTCTCTCCTTGATCACTGAAGAATGACTAGAGAGAGTCGAATATTCCTCATGTTAAGTGTGGTTTGATGTTGGGTTATTTGCGTGGAAATTGTTCCTAAATCGTAAAAGGAGAAAACTGTCAAGCGACTTAATCTGTAAGATGCTTACTTACATTCTCTTATGAAACAATAAATAGGCAAAAATAGATTGTCTTTAAGTTTTAAGGAGACATTTATATACCTTTTATTTTAAACATATATTTGATTTCATGTTAAATTTTTTTATAGATTCTAAAGAAATGCTTCTAAAATTTTTTTCATTGCATCCCCAGCTTTCTAATTTTGCCCTCAGAGAGCCACACTTTCCTCATACTCACTCTTCCCTTCTGACCACCACCATATTTCTGTGAAAAGTGGGAAGAGGGTTGATTTTGAATATGTTTTAGTTCACATTCAAGGAGAGTGTTGGTAGAAAAGAATGTCTGACCATAAGTGGTACTAAAAGTGTGAGCAGAATAGAACAAATGAAGTCTAACAAGAAATTAGGGTCTTATTAATACTAATAAATAATATCAACACTGACATGGGAGAAAGCTAGGTTAACTCACCGGTTAATTGCAACAAGAACTTTTAGAACACTGGTTACTGTTCTTAAGCTAGTGAACTCCTATATTGAGAAATATTGTTTTAAACTATCTTTTTAGATAAGTGACCAAGAAAAAATAAGTTTTAATTCCTTATGTCTTCCAGGCTTTTGCACTCTGATCGAGATCCTATTCCAGATGTTCCTGCAGTATACTTTGTAATGCCAACTGAAGAAAATATTGACAGAATGTGCCAGGTAAGATGGGTTCTTACTTTCTGGACTCCTGAATTTTGAGAAATCGCCACGCTGTCTTCCACAGTGGTTGAACTAATTTGCACTCCTACCAACAGTGTAAAAGTGTTCCTCTTTCTCCACATCCTCTCCAGCATCTGTTGTCTCCAGATTTTTTAATGATCGCCATTCTAACTGGTGTGAGATGGTATCTCAATGTAGTTTTCATTTGCATTTCTCTAATAACCAGTAATGATGAGCATTTTTTCATGTTTGTTGGCCTCATAAATGTCTTCTTTTGAAAAGTGTCTGTTCATATCCTTCACCCACTTTTGGATGGGTTTGTTTGTTTTTTTCTGTAAATCTCTTTCAGTTCTTTGTAGATTCTGGATATTAGCCCTTCATCAGATTGGTAGATTGCAAAAATTTTTTCCCATTGTGTTGGTTGCCAGTTGACTCGAATGATTGTTTCTTTTGCTGTACAGAAGCTCTGGAGTTTAATTAGATCCCATTTGTCTATTTTGGCTTTTGTTGCCAAAGCTTTTGGTATTTTAGTCATGAAGTCCTTGCCTATGCCTGTGTCCTGAATGGTTTTGCCTAGATTTTCTTCTAGGGATTTTATGGTTTTAGGTCTTATGTTTAAGTCTTTTAATCCATCTGGAGTTAATTTTAGTATAAGGTGTCAGGAAGGGGTCGAGTTTCTGCTTTCTGCACATGGCTAGCCAGTTTTCCCAACGCAATTTATTAAACAGGGAATCCTTTCCCCGATGCTTGTTTTTGTCAGGTTTCTCAAAGATCAGATGGTTTTAGATGTGTGGCGTTGCCTCCGAGGCTTCTGTTCTGTTCGATTGGTCTATATCACTGCTTTGATACCAGACCATGCTGTTTTGATTACTTTAGCCTTGTAGTATAGTTTGAAGTCAGGTAGCGTGATGCCTCCAGCTTTGTTCTTTTTGCTTAGAATTGTCTTGGCTATGCAGGCTCTCTTTCAGTTCCACATGAAGTTTAAGGTGAATTTTTCCAGTTCTGTGAAGAGGGTCATAGGTAGCTTGATGGGGATAGCATTGAATCTATAAATTACTTAGGGCAATGTGGCCATTTTCACAATATTGATTCTTCCTAACCATGAGCATGGAATGTTTTTTCATCTGTTTGTGTTCTCTCTTATTTCCTTGAGCAGTGGTTTGTAGTTCTCATTGAACAGGCCCTTCACATACTTTGTTAGTTGATTCCTAGGTGTTTTATTGTCTTTGTAGCAATTGTGAATGGAAGTTTGTTCTTGATTTGGCTCTCTTTTAGTCTCTTATTGGTGTTTAGGAATGCTTGTGATTTTTGCACGTTGATTTTGTATCCTGAGACTTTGCTGAAGTTGCTTATCAGTTTCAGGAGATTTTGGGCTGAGACGATGGGGTCTTCTAAATATGCAATCATGTCATCTACAAATAAAGACAGTTTGACTTCCTCCTTTCCTAATTGAATCCCCTTTATTTCTTTTTCTTGCCTAATTGCTTTGGCTAGAACTTCCAATACTATATTGAATAGGAGTGGTGAGAGAGGGCATCCTTGTCTAGTGCCAGATTTCAAAGGGAATGCTTCCAGGTTTTGCCATTCAGTATGATACTGGCTGTAGGTTTGTCCTAAATAGCTTTTATTGTTTTGAGATATGTTTCATCGATACCTAGTTTATTGAGAGTTTTTAGCATGAAGGGATGCTGAATTTTGTTGAAGGCCTTCTCTGCATCAATTGAGATAATCATGTGGTTTTTGTCTTTGGTTCTGTTTATGTGGTGGATTACATTTATAGACTTGAGTATGTTGGACCAGCCTTGCATCCCCAGGATGAAGCCTACGTGATCATGGTGGATAAGCTCTTTAATGTACTGTTGGAATTGATTTGCCAGTATTTTGTTGAAGATTTTTGCATTGATGTTCAACATGGATATTGGCCTGAAATTTTCTTTTTCTTGTTGAGTCTCTGCCAGGTTTTGGTATCAGGATGATGTTGGTCTCATAAAATGAGTTGGGAAGGATTCCCTCTTTTGGTATTGTTTGGAATAGTTTCAGAAGGAGTGCTACTAGCTCCTCTTTGTACATCTGGTAGAATTCTCCTGTGAACCCATCTGGACCTAGGCTTTTTTTGAACTTCAGCCCTTGTTATTGGTCTATTCAGGGTTTCAACTTCTTTCTGGTTTGGGCTTGGGAGGGTGCAAGTATCCAGGAATTTATCCATTTCTTCCAGGTTTACTGGTTTGTGTGCATAGAGTTGTTTATAGTAATCTCTGATGGTAGTTTGTATTTCTGTGAAATCGGTGGTGATGTCCCCCTTTATCATTTTTTTATTTGATTTTTCCCTCTTTGCTCTTTTATTAATCTGGCTAGCGGTCTGTCTTTTTTGTTGATGTTTTCCAAAAACAAGCTCCTGAATTTACTGATTTTTTGAAGGGTTTTTTGTGTCTCTATCTCTTTGAGTTCTGTTCTGATCTTAGTTATTTCTTGTGTGCTAGCTTTCGAGATTTTTTTAATCTTGCTCCTCTAGTTCTATTGCACTGATATCTATGTCTGTCCTTATGCCTGTACCACACAGTCTTAATTTCTCTTGCTTGATAGCAAGTTTTGAAATTGAGAAAATGAGTCCTCCAACTTTGTACGTCTTTTTTCAGATTACTTTGTCTTTCTGGGCACCTTGAATTTACAAGTAAATTTAAGATTAACTTGTCATAAGTTTTGTGCTGCTTTTGTTAAATGTTTCCTTTATTGTGTTTAATGCTATTATGAATGGAATTCTTTATTCCATTTTTAGGATTATTCATTGCAATTGTGTGAAAATTCAATTGATTTTTATATATTTATCTTGTATCCTGCAACCTTGCTGAACTTTTGTGTACTTTTGAAATGTATGCATCATTCCTTAACAACTTTCTTATTTTCTGGCCCAATAAGATGTTCCAGTGTAGCCTAGTATTTTACTTTCTCTGTCCCAGTCCAAGATTTAGACATTTGTCTAAGGAGCCCTGGTTGCTTCCTGTAAAGAATGGTATTTAGAAATCAGGATCTGGGCATTAGGTATACTCATTGTCACTCTTCTTAGGTCCTCTCAATGGGAAAAGCTAGGAAACATATGTATGTATTTGTACATACACTTTTATGTCTATATTTATTTCTACATTTCTCCCTGTCTTCTCCCCACCTATCCAAATAGATAGATAACCTCCAAAATTATTTCAGCTTAGCAACACAGGATTCACTCTAGCATTTCCCTTTTTACAAATTTTGTAACTCCTTTCTCAGAGTGAAAAACATGGTTCCCAGTATCCTGAACATATTACTTGTTTCTCAATTCTTATGCATAATCTCTTGCCCTTGATTGAACCATAGCTCTTATCACCTTCCTCACAAAGGCTCCAACCCCTCAGTTTTTCACATTTTAACATCTCTGAAATCAGGTACATCTTAAAATTGATCTGTATGTCACAAAATTTTATTGGCATCATTAATTCTTAGTGTTACATAAAGTGATGGTGCCCGTTACAGTCAGTGACATCTTAGATTTGAGGAAGTATGGTTATTTTGATATATATTTGCTAAAAGTATAAGAAGATAAGTAAATTTGACTCAAGAATTTGCATAACTTAAATTGCACTACTTTTGAGCAGTTGAGAAGAAATACTTTTAGAATTGGTAATTGGAATTATAATTTGTGTGTAATGAAGGATTTGTTGTGTTATCACATGTCCAAAACCATTGAAGGTCATGTCTGCCAAATATAATAAGCGTTTTACCATATTAGTGAGCCATATCTGGATATTTTAAGAAAACTGCAGATATGCTATATGAAAGCAGTTTTGTACTATATTGTAATTAATGAGATTTTGTTGATAGTATAATTTTATAACTTTATTAAGATACATTTAATTACATCTGATAACCAGATAGCCAGTACTTCTTCAAAGCTTTTTTCTCTTGGGATACTTTTTTTGATTGTCATTTAAATATCCTGTCTTTTAAATGTAACTTTGCTTTTATAGTATTTGTAACATATGTATTCATGGTCTTCTTTATACTATCCTATAAGAATGAAGTTTTCATTGTATTGATAGGATCTTCGAAATCAACTATATGAATCATATTATTTAAATTTTATTTCTGCTATTTCAAGAAGTAAACTGGAAGATATTGCAAATGCAGCATTAGCAGCTAGTGCAGTAACACAAGTAGCCAAGGTAAGAGATTTTGGTTGGTTGATGACATTTTATCAGTGTAAAATTTAACAGTGTTCTGAAACCTGTAGTTGGCATAGATATCTAATTGACAGATGACCAGAACGACCTAAGAGATGTTTAGGCTCAATACTTTGAGTTCTAATAATATAAATTATCTTCAACTTGAACTGGGCAAAATAAACCAAACTAAAGGAACTTACTATTGAATGAATTTGAAAGACAGAAATAAAAAGGAGAATGAGTTTTTAGTCTGGTATTTGTATAATCTTTTTAGGTCAACTCAGAAATAATTTGACAGTTGTATTCTCATAAACTATATTGAAAGTATGTTGACATTGTTTTATCTGTAATTATTTATAATCATCATACTATTTCCATGTGTTTTTTGTTTGTTTGTTTGTTTTGTTTTGTTTTGTTTGAGACAGAGTCTCATTCTGTTGCCCAAGCTGGAGTGCTGTGGTGTGGTCTTGGCTCACTACAGCCTTCACCTACTGCGTTCAAGCAATTCCCTGTCTCAGCCTCCTGAGTAGCTGGGATTACAGGTGCCTGCCACCATGCCCAGCTGATTTTTGTATTTTTAGTAGAGATGAGGTTTCACCATCTTGGCCAGGCTGGTCTTGAACTCCTGACCTCATGATCTACCTGCCTCAGCCTCCAAAAGTGCTAGGATTACAGGTGAGCCACTGCGCCTGGCCTTCCAGATCTTTTTTTTTTTTTACTTAGGAAAGAGGATCCAAAGTGCCCATGTTGCATATTGAGATCCAAGTGCCTCTCTTGCATATTAGAAAAAGAATTCACTCAGGCCAGCAATTCTACATCATAGTAACTTTTTAGTCAGGTTCAGCTTCAGTTATAAATCAATTTGTAAAATATATTTCTGGTTATAATCCTGTTATGCTCTGCGTTTCTTGAATTTAGGCAAGATATGCATATAAATTCCAGAATACTATCTAGGGCAAATAAGAGACTAAACAACCATGCATATACTTTCTATTTTTTTATTGATTTTTTCATTCTTAGATTTAAACAGACCACTAATATTTCTGATTAGTTTTTGAGACTTATGCCTTTAATGTTTGTGCTCAAAGTTTATTAACTTCACATAAAATAATGGGAACAAAAATTCGTTTTCTTGTTTTGTTTTGAGACAGTGTCTCACTCTGTTACCCAGGCTAGCATGCACTGGTGCTATCACTGATTGCTGCAGCCTTCAACTCCTGGGCTTGTGCCATTCCACCCAGCTAATTTTTTTTTATGCTTCCCTGGTCTCAAATTACTGGCCTCAGGCAGTCCTCCTACGGAAGCCTTCCAAAGCATGGGATTACAGATGCAAGCCACCTCATCCAGCCTTAATTTGGTTAGCTAAATTCAGTGTATTTCAAATAGTTCTCTTATTTTTTCTCCTACTCTGCATTTCCAAAGAACGGGCATAACTTTTTCCCACTTTATTATAAAAGTTCTTTGTGTAAAATAATTACTGTGACTTTCTTAGGAAAATGTGATGAAAATGATTGTTAAAATTGTATGTTTTCTTCAAAATTGGTATGTATTCCCATCCCAACCACAATTTAAGTTCTTATATCTACTTAAATTTTGTTTTCTGAAAATGTTACTCTCCTTCTTCATATTTATTGCCCAAAGGCTCCTCATTCTTACTCAATTAGGTTGTTACACAGTACATTTTTTAGTTATTGAATATAACTATGATTTTTTTTTTTTTCATTTTTACCATTGGTAGGTTAGAGCAAACTAAATTTACTTTCAATATGGCTGTATTGTAAGATTGATTCGTAAACCTTATCTTTTCTTTCTAGGTTTTTGACCAGTATCTCAACTTTATTACTTTGGAAGATGATATGTTTGTATTATGTAATCAAAATAAGGAGCTTGTTTCATATCGTGGTATGTAAAAATAGAAATATTGCAATTCGTTGTTAACAAAATGAATGGTACAGTGTGAGAAAAAAAGGGAATATGTTTAATAGACTCTAAAACCATCTCATTTACAGCAGTAGAGCTATAGAAACTCTAAAAGCACATGGAGAAAACTTTAAAAGCACACGGAGAAACTTGTGTGAATGGTTTACTCATGGCAAGACAGTATTTTAATAGCAGAATTCGAATTAATTATCTAGTACTTTGATCTTGGACAAGAATAAGTTAGCTTACTTCTCTGTGCTTGTAAAACACTGGAACCAGCTAATAAGCTCCCTGAGAGATGAGAATGAATCTTTTGGTTTCATTGAGCTCTAGAGCATGTGTTCTTGTGGAAATTCCTAAAAGAGTATAAGTATTTGCTGAGTTGTTCATGTGAGAGATTTTTGACAATGGTTATTGTTCACAGAAATCTATTTACAGTTGCATTTTAAATGAATTGTCAGCTTTTTCAAGTTACATGTTTTAAAGTCTAGTTTTCCTTAAGCCTTTTTAAATTGAATATGAATTTTGTTATATTGTTTATAAATCTGGTAAAGTAAAAACAAGCATCTTTATTCTTGATGGATTAACTCATATTGAACAGACTAAATTCTCCTAATCAGTCCCATTTAACAATTTTAATCAGAAAACTTAGTGTGTAAAATTCCCTTAAACATAGAAAATTTTATTAATAAATTCAGAATATCAGCGGTTTTTTTTTTTTTTTTTGGTACTGTACTTCATATACCAGACCAGACAAGTTTATAATTCTAACAAGGAAAACCTACCCAAGTAGTTAAATAATTCTTTAAAAATAATTATATTTGTAATGAGTGTAAAATTCGTTAAATATTCATCTACTTATAAGTTTAATTACATTTTTAATACCTGCCAGCTTCTTGTAAAGAACACGTTTGAGATTAATTACATATTTTAAAGTGTAATCACATGGCTAATCACCCAGATTCTCAGTGATAATAGTCATAGCTTGCTCTATGCCAATCAGTGTTTTAAGCACATTACAATATGAGTTAACTTACTCCTCAGAATAACTTTATGAAGTAGAAATTCATTCCATTTTCAAGATGAGAAAATAGAGACATAGCTATTATGTAGCTTGATGAGGAAATAGTAAAGCCAGCTTACTAAACACAGGCAGTTTCACTCCAGAGATAACATTCTTTATCATTATGTAATTATATGCCTAATAGTCTCAAATGTTGCAAGTGCTTTAAAAATTTTAAATGTTCCTAAACATGATTATATTAATACCGTGGTATTGATTTGCAAATCTTTTTCATTCTAAACTTTCCATGGATTGGGAGCAAGCAGATTTATTATCACAGTCAAACGAAGGCTGCTATCTCAGACAAAGCAAGCTGTTATCTCACATTGAAGTTATCGATTAGCAATTTATGACTGTCGGGTTATGTTTCATTCAGAGATGTGGAACTAGGATATAGGACTCAAGGGCTGGATGCTTCCATATAGATTTTTCTAGTGCCACTTATTAACAAAAATATACTAGTGCTTTAACTAAAAGATATGAAGTGTCTACACATCACTTGTGCCAACAGTTCATTAAATGAATTGGGTATGTTTCCTTGAATTGATATCCCCAGAATGTACATGATGCGGATTGTGTCCTTTAATTTGTTTCATCTGATTGAGATAGATGGTATTTGCAACACTGGAGTAATGGGCCATTTCCTTCTTCTGGATTCTGTGTAGCCTCATCGAATTCTTTTATTATTTATATGTTATCTGGGTGGACCACGCTTTCTTTAGATACTTCGAGATATACAGTTGAATTTGCTTTCTTTTGCTCCACAAGTGGTATTAAATTTTATATGTGTTTTCACTTTCAGTATATTGGGATATTAAAAAATACTTTGTAGATAATAGTTTAGACAATCTTCAATGTATAGTTATTGATCGACTTTGTCAGAGACTGGGCTTGATATTTTGAGAGAGGAATATAAGTAAGTCAACGTCTTTGTCAAAAACACTCTTCACAGAAATGTTTCTTAAAGTGCAGGCCCCAAGGCCTATTTGCATTAGAATTGCCTGAGGTGCTTGTCAAAATTATAGTGGTGGTGTTTTTTTTTTTTGGAGACGCAGTCTTACTCTGTCGCCCAAACTAGAGTGCGGTGGCATGATTTCAGCTCACTGAAACCTTTTTCTCCCGGGTTCAAACAGTTCTCCTGCTTCAGCTTCCCGAGTAGCTGGGATTATAGGTGTGTGTTACCACACCTGGCTGATTTTTGTATTTTCAGTAGAGACTGGGTTTCACCATGATGGCCAGGCTGTTCTCAAACTCCTGACCTCAGGTGATCCGCCTGCCTCTGCCTCCCAAAGTGCTAGGATTACAGGCATTAGCCACTGTGCCCAGCATCAAAATTACAGGTTTTTTAGAATTTTTATCCATACAGAATTCCTAAAGGAAAGGGATAAGAATCTTTAATTTTTAAAAACTTTCAGAGAATTTTTCTGCATATCCCTGGGTGATTCTTATAGTCAATAAAGTTTGGGAACTACTTATGCATACTCTTGTAGATTAGAAAAGAAATTTATATAACTTAATATAAGGAAAATGATATGTGATGTTGGTTTTGCCATAATTGATTTGCATTCCTTTTCTGGCAGTAGTTGGGTAACAGAATAAATAGTTTCTTGAGGCCATCTAGTGTTTATAATAAAACTATGGAATATGATATTTATTTTCCTGTTTCCTGTGGCAAAAATTTTGTAAGTTTACATTGTGGGATTGCTTTTCTTACTAGTAGTCTCCTAGTATCTGATATTAGGATAGTTTGTTGTGTTGTTTTTTTTTTTTCTTTTTTTAAACTCTTTGAGGTGGTATAATTTTTAACAGATACTCTTTCACTTAAAAGAAGTTTAAAGCAGGCAGGGTGTAGTGGCTCATGCCTATAATCCCAGCCCTTTGGGAGGCCAAGGTAGGAGGATGGCTTGAGCTTAGGAGTTTAGGACCAGCCTGGGCAACATAGGAAGACCCATCTCTATAAAAATTTTTTTTTAATTAGTAGGGCATGGTGGCATGTGCCTGTGGTCTCAGCTACTCTGAAGGCTGAGATGGGAGGATCGTTTGAGCCCAAGAGGTTGAGGCTACAGTAAGCTGTGATTATGCCTCTGTACTCCCTTTTGGATGACCGAGCAAGATCCTTTCTCAGGAAAAAAAAAAAAAAAAAAAAAATTCACTTGCTGAGTTTTATTATGTATCAATTAAGAGTTTGGTAATAATTTTAGGAGTTTCATAAAGATAAGACATAAGTTTAGGTCAATATTTTCTCCTTTCCCTATGTCATTTCAGCCATTAACAGGCCAGATATCACAGACACAGAAATGGAAACTGTTATGGACACTATAGTTGACAGCCTCTTCTGCTTTTTTGTGACTCTGGGTAAGTTTTCCAGCCTTTCTGGTTAGTCTTCAAAGTAAATTAATAATTTAACAAGTCATTTTAATGTATTATACTGTAATGTGATTCTTTCTCACCTGGATCTCTAGAGGCTCTCTAGTGGAGTAAAATATATATTCAGCAGTATGGAAAAAACATTCTTCTAATAATTTAATGAGGTTCTCTTGAGTTAACATTTAACAGATCTGTTGAATTGTCATTTTAGATGCCTTTGGTAATCATAATTTTCTAATATATTATTTGAATAATTTGGTGGTGACTTCACTTATGTGCCTGTTAATTTTCTTTTAATATTATGAAAAATTTTAAACATACTTCTAAATAGATAAATGTTTGGCAACTATTAAGCTCAGATATCCAAGGCTCCAGAAAACACTAACACTGTGTATAATACTAATCTACCTACACTTTCAAATTTAATTTCAATCTTGTTTTTCTTATTGTCAACTTTTAGGTTTGGGGGTTACATGTGTAAATTGTGTGTCACTGGGGTTTGGTGTACAAATGAATTTGTTGCCCAGGTCATGGGCATGTTTCCTGATAGTTTTTTGACCCTCATCCTCTCCACTCATTTAGTCCCCAGTATATGCTGTTTTAATCTTTGTGTCTTTTCTTTTTGTTTAGCTCCCACTTACAAGTGAAAACATGGGGTATTTTGTTTTCTGTTCCTGTTAATTCCCTTAAACAATGGCCTCCAGCTGCATCAGTGTTGCTGCAAAGCGTATTTCATTTTTTTATTACTCTGTATATTCCATGATGTATGTGTATCACAAATTCTTTATCCAGTCTACCCTTGATAGGCATCTAGATTGATTCCATGTCTTTGCTATTGTGAATATTACTGCAATGAATATATGGGTGAATGTGTCTTTTTGATAGACTGATTTATATTCTTTGGCTATATACCCAGTAATGGGATTGCTGAGTTTAATGGTAGTTCTGTTGTAAGTTCTTTGAGAAATCTTCAAACTGCTTTCCACAGTGGCTGAACTAATTTACATTCCCACCAACAGTGTATAAATGTTCCCTTTCCTCTGCAACCTAACCAGCATCTGTTATTTTTTGACTTTTTAATAATAGACATTCTGACTGGTGTGTGATGTTATCTCATTGTAGTTTTGATTTTCATTTCTCTAATGATTAGTGATGTTGAGCATCTTTTCATATGCTTGCTGGCCACATATATATATATGTATTTTTTTCCCCCCTGAGAAGTTTCTGTTCATGTCCTTTACCTAGTGTTTAATGGGGTTGTTTGTTTTTGCTTATTGATTTAAGTTTCTTATAAATTCCATACATTAGACTTTTGTTGGATGCATAGTTTGCAAATACTTTCTCCCATTCTGTAGGTTTTCCATTCACTTTGCTGATAGTTTCTTTTGCTGTGCAGAAGCCTTTAGGTTTAATTAGGTCCCATTTGCCTGTTTTTGTTTTTCTGGTGATTGTTTTTGGAAACTTAGCATGAAATCTTTGCCAAGGCCTGTGTTCAGAATGGTATCTAGGTTTTCTTGTAGGATTTTTATAATTTTAGGTCTTACATTTAAGTTTTTAGTCCATTTTGAGTTGGTTTTTGTAGATAGTGAAAGGAAGGGGTCCAGTTTTAATCTTCTGTGTATAGCTGGCCAGTTATCCCAGCACCACTTGCTGAATAGGGAGTTCTTTTTCTATTGCTTGTTGTTGTGAACATTGTCGAAGATCAGATGGTTGTAGGTGTGTGGCTTTATTTCTGGGTTCTATAACCAGTTCCATTGGTCTGTGTATCTGTTTTTGCACCATGCTGTTTTGGTTACTGTAGTAAAAGCTGTGTAGTAGTATACTTTGAAGTCAGGTTGTGTAATGCTCCCAGCTTTGTTCTTTTTGCTTAGGATTGCTTTGGCTATTCAGGTTCTTTTTGGTTCTCTGTGACTTTTAGAATAGTTTTTTTCTAATTCTTTGAAAAATGACATTGGTAGTTTGATAGGAATAGCACTTAATTTGTAAATTGCTTTGGGAGTATGGCACTTTTAATATTGATTTTTCTTGTCCATGAACATGGAATGTTCTTCTATTTGTGTCATCTCTGATTTCTTTCAGCAGTGTTTTGTAATTCTTTTTTTTTTTTTTTTTTTTTTTTTTTTTAGGGAAAAAGAGAAAAAGAAGGGGAAAAAAAGAAAAAGGGGGAAAAAGGAATATTACTTCATTCCTAAAATGGGTTTCAATAATGGCCGATCAATATTTTGAGTGTTTAAAGTGGTTAATGCATATTTTATGTGTTTAAAATGGAGACCTCTATTGTGTTTATTTGTTCAGGCTCTGAGTTCAAATCCTGGATATCGTTATCAATTTGTTGTCTCGTTGAATCTAAATCTATGTGTCTTATGTATCTGGGTGTTAAGATCTCTTATTGTTACATTAATCCTTTTACCCTTGTATCCTTATAGCTTTGAAATCTATTTTGTCAAATGTGAAAATTGCAACTCCTGCTTTTTATTTATTTATTTTTGCTCTCCATTTGGTTGGTACGTTTTTTTTTTCCAACCCTTTATTTTGAGTCTATGTATATCTTTGGATATACCGTTGGATTTTGTCTGTATCTTTTGATTGGGAGATTTGGTTGATTTAACTTTAGGGTTGCTGCCATTTGATATTAACTGGCTATTTTGTCCTTTTGTTGATAAAAATTCTTCTTTATGTTAACGCTCTTTACTTTTTGGTGTATTTTTAGAAAGGATCATACTGGTTGTTCCTTTCTGTGTATAATGCTTCTTTTAGAAGTTCTTGTAAAGCAGGCCTGGTGGTAATAAAATCTCTGAGTACTTGCTTGTTCCTAAAAGATTTTATTTTTCCTTCAAATGTAAAGCTTAAATTGGCAGGATATGAAATTCTGGGCTGAAAGTTTTGTTCTTTAAGTATATTGAATATTGGCCCCCACTCTCTTCTAGCTTGTAGGGTTTCCGTTGAGAGATCTGCTGTAAGCCTAATAGGCTTACCTTTATGGGTAACTTGATCTTTCTCTCTGGCTGCCCTTAATATTTTCTCCTTCGTTTCGATCTTGGTGAATCTAACGATTATGTGCCTTGGGGTTGGTCTTCTTGAGGAATATCTTTGTGGTGTTCTCTGTATTGCCTGGGGTTAAATAGTGTCCTGCTTTGCTAAATTAGGAAAATTTACCTGGATAATGTCCTGGAGAGTATTTTCCAGCTTGACTTCATTCTCTCCGTCACATTCAGGTACACCAATCAAGCGTATATTAGGTCTTTTCACATAGTCCCATATTTCTTGGAGACTTTGCTCATTCCTTTTTATCCTTTTTTCTCTATTCTTGTCTTGTCGTTTTGTTTCATTAAGTTGGTCTTCGACCTCTAATACCCTTTCTTCTGCTTGATCCATTCGGCTGTTTAAGCTTGTACATATTTCACTCAGTTCTCGTGTTGTATTTTTCAACTCCATAAGTTCATTTGTATTCCTCTCTATATTGTCTATTCTTTTCAACATTTCATCGAACCTTTTTTCCAAGTTCTTAGTTTCTTTACATTGGGTTAGAACAAGTTCCTTTAACTCCCAGAAGTTTCTTATCATCCACCTTTTAAAGCCTACTTCAGATAATGGAACACAGTCCTTTTCCATCAGGGCTTGTTCCGTTACTGATGAGTCCTTTTCCATCAGGGCTTGTTCGGTTGCTGATGAGTCCTTTTCCATCAGGGCTTGTTCCGTTGCTGATGGGTTCTGATTTTGAGTATACTCAGCCTTCTTAGGCTGTTTTTTTCCCTTCATTTTAGATGAACCGCCTTTCTAATTAGTTTTCTGAGTCGACGTCCGACTTACTGATTCCCAGTGCTGGGATCCGAGCCACCCACTGTGGCAGCCTAAATAGCAGCGATAAGACTGATGGTGCTCTTCTGCCCGGGAATCTCTGGTCTGGCTTCCCTCCTGAGGCCGCAACAAGCGGCCCTGACTTCCCGGAGCTCCAAACTCTGGTCAGTAGGGGAAGCGGCCCCGTCGGCTCCTTCTCTGAGCCCTCACCGGGAGCCACAATCCCGAGCTGTTAGTGGTCGGCCATCTTGGATCAGTGTTTTGTAATTCTTGTTGTAGAACTCTTTCACTTCTCAAATTAGCTGTATTCTTAGGTATTTTATCCTTTTTGAGGCTATTGTGAATGGGGAGTCCCTCCTCCTCGATTTCTTGGAATAATATCAGTAGTATTAGTACCAGCTCTTCTTTGTACATCTGTTAGAATTTGGCTGTGAATCCATCTGGTCCAGGGTTTTTTCTGGTTTGTAGGTTTTTTATTACTGGTTCAGTTTTGGAATTTGTTATTCCAGGACTTCAATTTCTTCCTTGTTAAGTCTTGGCAGGTTGTATGTTTCCAGAAATTTATTCGTTTCTTTTAGGTTTTCTAGTTTGTGTGCATAGAGGTGTTTGTAGTCTCTGATGGTTTTTTTATATTTCTATGGGGTCAGTGGTAATGTTACCGTTGACATTTCTCATTGTGTTTACTTGGATTGTCCCCCTTATTTTCTTTGTTGACCTAACTCTGGTGGTCTACCTATCTTGTTTATTCTTTCAAAGCAACAACTTCGGGTTTTCTTGATTCAAAAATGTTAGATGATCTAAAATTACTTAGAGTTAACTTCTATTTAGTGTCTAATATATGATTTTGTGTTTTACTATTAGTAATGGATCAGTTTAGAAGGCTAGTTGCAATTTTAATTTTTTTAGACACTAAAAACCTTTTTGTTAAAATGTTCTTCAATTAGATTAATAAAATCTCTACATCATTTAAAAAAATTAAAGAGCTACCATGTATAGTCTAAGATTTGCACAAATGTTTACACATAAAGAGAATTCAAACGCAAATTGTATGACTGTCTCCTTTTAGGGACTTTTTTCACTTAATTTCTAGCCCTGAGTGCCAGTCTTTGATTCTTCAGCTCAGTAATTTTCCTGTTTTCTGCTTGAGTTCTTTCTCTTATGTGCCACATAATGTGTCAAGTACTTGCAGGAGAAAAGCTGGTTAAAAATATATCTTACCTTATATGATTCTCTTCTATCAACAGTTAACCTCTCCAGTTTCTGCTTGCTTTGAACTGCTTTCATTGCCCTCACTTGGGTTGTTGTTGGTTTTTTATTTTTTTTAATAAAGAAAGCACATGTATACCACTTTCAGTGTTAGACATAATTTTCTATTTTGTCACCCCACACAGTCTGTAAAATTTTGCCAGATGCTAGGGTGGTGGACATTAAGGTTATTTTTGATTGGTGATAGTTATAATTTCGAAGCAAAGGTAGATTGAAAAAGAGACATATAAAGACCACTGAAGTGTTAAAGCTACCTTTATAATGTATAGATTTTCCAAAAGTGATTTTTTTTCTTTATCTTATATTTTTGAAATGGAGTTTTGTTCTTGTTGCCTAGTCTGGAGTGCAATGGCGCAATCTCAGCTTACTACAACCTCACCTTCCGAGTTCAAGCAATTCTCCTGCCTCAGCCTCCCGAGTAACTGGGATTAGAGGCATGCTGGAGCATGCCTGGCTAATTTTTATATTTTTAGTAGAGATGGGGTTTTACCATGTTGGCCAGGCTGGTCTCGAACTAATGACCTCAGATGATCCACCCACCTGGGCCTCCCAAAGCAGTGGGATTACAAGCATGTGCCACCCCACCCAGCCAGTGATTTTTTCAAAGGAGAAACTGAAATACTGCCAATCTGACATAGGAGGATGTCAACACTAAATTGTTACATGGAGAAAAACAAGTTTTAGAACAGTATGTGTACTACCTTATTTTTTTACATATACACATGCAGTTATTAGACTATATGTAGAAAACAACATGGAAGCATCCATTCCTAATTCTAATGGGGGTTATTTGTGAGGGCTAGAATCAAGAGGATTAAGTTTATACATTTCTAATTTTATTTAAATTTTTTATTACAAACATTTATAACTTTTGCCATCAGAAGAAAACAACAGTTAGAAAAAAATTGCTATTTTGTGTTTTTATTTTGCAATTGACTGAGTATACTCCTATTTCCTATACAATCTAAAATGCAACCGTTTCAGCATATAAATATTACAGTGTTCTCAGTTGTCTTATGAGACTTTCAGTGCAGTTGGACTTCTTTTCTATTTAGGATTTCAACCTATGTGAAGAATGTGTTTTCTATTATTCAAATTAGTACTTTTTAAAAAAAGACTACAATTCTTTATTGTTAATTCATAAAATAAACAAAAACTAGCAGTCCCCAAACTGCTAAATTAGCTAAGCTCTTTTCATTCTTTTCTTTTAAGTCAAATTAAAGTGAGTCCTGTGAGTAGAGTAAGCTTATATATTGAAACTGCTTAGGCCAGATGCAGAGGCTTACACCTGTTATCCCAGCACTTTGGGAGGTTGAGGTAGTAGCAGGATCACTTGAGCTCAGACCAGCTTGCACAGCATAGTGAAACCTTGTCTACAAAAAAAAAAATTTTTTTTTTTTTTCCTGACATAGAGTCTCACTATGATGACCAGGCTGGAGTGCAGTAGTGTGATCATAACTCACTGCAGCCTCAGATTTCCAGATTCTCCCACCTCAGCCTTTCGAATAGCTGGGACCACAGTCACGTACCACCATGCCCAGCTAATTTTTTGTTATTTTTGTAGAGACAGAGTTTTGCTGAATTAGCCAGGCTTGGTGGCATATGCCTGTAGTCCTAGCTACTCAGGAGGCTGAGGTGGGAGGATGCAATAGATCAAGGCTACAGCAAGCCATGATTGTACTGCCACACTCCAGTCTGCTAGCCTGGGTGACAGAGTGACACCTCATCCCAAAATAAAACACAAGAAGAAAGAAAGAAATTGCCTGTAGGGGATCAAAGTACTGATTTAATCAATCCATTGAAAAAAATGCAGTCACAGTGATTGGTCAACTCCATATAAAGTAGTTTTCTTTTGACTTCTGTTGTTTTCTTTATTAATGGGAAGGTTCATTTCTGAAACTTGCTTTTACTCTTGAAATTATAAATCCTTTTATGTTGAAAAATTGCCTTTTGAGTACAATGTTCACTCTTTGGGTGATGGGTGCACTAAAAGCCCAGACTTCACCACTATGCAATATTTGCATGTAAGAAACCTGTACTTGTACCTCCTGAATATATTTCTTAATTTTTTAATTAAAAGTGGAAAAATAAAATCATTTGATGTGTATAATGTGAAATTGTATAAAACTATCATATCTGTTATTTTTGATGCTGATGTATTTTATAAGTATTTTAATTAAGAGCCAAGATCATTTCTAACATTTATTGTTAAAATAGGTGCTGTTCCTATAATCAGATGTTCAAGAGGAACAGCAGCAGAAATGGTAGCAGTGGTAAGTTCATGCAGATATCATGTGGAAATAAATAACTTTGTGTGAATTGTTTTCCCACAAGTAATGCAAGTGTTTTGTTAATATTTAAATATATAATTGCTTGGTTGTATAAGTACCAATATTTTTTTTTTATTACATTGAGAGTCCACCAAATATAAAAAGTAAGTATTATTTATTTTGACATGAGGAAGTAAAATTATTTATGCCAGTGTGCTTTTCCCGTCCTTTTTTTTTTAAACTACAATGTATATTCCTCATTTAACCTTGTCTCTCCAAGCCGTATTTTATACTTATATGATCCCCCAGATTAGTTAACATTTAACTTCATTTAGCAAATATTTATTACTAATCATAGCCATTTTTAAAATGAAGTACTTTTTGCTGCCCTACTATATTGAAGTAAAATATTGAGTATAAAGTAAGTATTCATAAATTTGCTTTAAAGATTAAAAAATGAGTAAGAGATTAGAGAAATTTAGAATTACTAAAAAAGAAGGAGGTATTTTGGAGCTTTATTAGTCCAAGTGAATTACTGACTGGTGGAAGACTGCTTTCTTTCACATGTTCCATTTTTCTTTTGAGGCTTCTTATACCCCCACTACTTTGTTCACTCCTACCCTCCCAAGTCAGCATTTTCTCTATATAGACATCTTTGTTGGTAAAACAGTCATGCTTGGGAAAAGAGTGTGGGTCATTACTGCGAAGCATTTCCCATGCCAAAGTAAAATTAGTCAACAAAAAGTACTTATTAGTGAAATAAGGCCTGAGTCACAGTAGAAAAGATACTGATCTTTTTTAAGTCCACATTCTGATGATATCAAAGTGGTAAGAAGGAGCTAAAATATTTAGATTTTAGTTTGGCTATTTGTAAATAAATTCCAGGTTTCTTTGTTGTGAAACTAAAAACCCATTATGAATTAACCTCCATAGAGTTATATGAAACTGTTCTTTAAGAGTTCGTGTAAAATTTTATTTTTTAGAAACTAGACAAAAAACTTCGAGAAAATCTAAGAGATGCAAGAAACAGTCTTTTTACAGGTGATACACTTGGAGCTGGCCAATTCAGGTATTACTATTAGTAAATATACTTATAAGACATAAAAATATTTGTAGTTCTTTTTTTTGTTTTTTTCTTGGCTGATAGAATACTTTTATCCTTGTAATTGAAATTTGTTTCTTTTTAATGAGCTACTGAGGATCAGGGTTTCGACTCAAATTGTTAATAAAATACAAACGGAATATTTTATTCAATTTACCTTCTTTTGATAGAAATTTCTAAGCATTTTTATGTAAGAGAAATTTTTCTGTGTATAAGGCTTTGAAGGCTGGAAGCCAAAGCTTTCTTTCAGTTATCCTTAAACAGCTTGGTAATTTTTCACAGAGAGAAAAACTTGTGATATTTATATCTGTTTCTACCTTTATTAACCTAATTTCCATTTTATACTGACATACTAATAGCCTAAACTTGCAAAACATTTTATTATTGTTAGCATTTCTAGCATGAGTAGGGAATGTGAAAGTTTTTGGCTGCTTATTATTAAATAGAAATACTAAAAAACCCTATACATTATAGTATAACTTTTGATTGTTAATAGTAATGGAGTAAAGAAGTAAAGAAACTCACTCAAATGGCTGAGAATTTTTTAAAGAGGCAGAGATGATATTCTGGAAAATTAATTCTTAACCCCAGTTTAGATGAATTAATAAATCAAGCCTGTGAGAATAGATCGATGCCCAGAAAAATAACTGCCCACTAGGAATAATAATTTCATAATAACCTTCAGTAGACTCTCCTACAGCCTTATAAACTACTTGTATAATTTAGAGTTCACACTAACACTGTTTCAGTTGTTTGGTTAACTATCTGTTTCCACATTATTTTGAATGGATCTATGATTTCATTGCTGGTCTTAAATATTCTTTAAAAAGTTTCGCATTAGGTAGAAGAAAAGCATCAACTTCTCACCCGATCTTCAATCTTTTTTTTTTTTAACAGAACCAACTACTGTGTCATACCTTACTTAATAGTTCCCTTTTTATAATGCTCTGGTATAGGCCTTAGAAACCAATATAAAGGCATTGTTTTATTTGGATAATTTTTTAAAATTTGTTCACATTATCATAATACCTTATTTCTCAACTTGTTGGATATATATTTCTTAATTATTTTAATTAGTAGTCACAACCTTGCTTGACTATCGTTAAATACTTTTGAATCTAACCATAGGCTGGTGATTTTCAACTAAGGGCAGTTTTTGCCTCCCATAGCCATTTGGTACTGTCTGAAGACACATTTGATTGTCTTAACTGGTAGGTGTTACTAGAATCTTGTAGTGTACATTGTAGGATGCTGCTAAATATCCTATAATGCATGCCACAACCCCCTATAATAAGGAATTATCCAGCCCCAAATGTCAGTAGTCCTAGGATTAAGAAACCCTGCAGTAGGCCATCCTCCCTTACTTTCCATCTAGCTCTGGTGTAATAGATCATAGTAAATTATGAGGGTGCCACTCTGACTTTTTATCCCAGAGTTTGTCCAGTTAGAAAATCCACTGTCCTGTACCCAGAAGAGTGTAATGATTTACAAAATACTATTACAAAAGGAAATATATAATCAGATAGTGATGCCTTTTGAAAAGTGTAGTGCCTCTAAAGCAGACTCTAAAACTTCTGTAGAGACATGGTAACCAAATAACTTTGTGCCTCAGTTTGCTTTCGGTGGTAGTTTATTTCACATCTAAATTGTAATAATGGAGTTAAACATACATGAGGTGTGTCATATGACTTTTCTGTTAAGGGAATAGTAATATAATCAGGTACCATTATGGCATTATGTTTTCATTTTGTATATTATAGTGGTATAGAGTTTTTTTGAGGCTCTTATTCAGGGTCTGCTTTTTTGAGTTTGTGTTTATAAAAAAAAAATGTAATTTATGAAACCGTCAAATATTTGTGTAAATTTATAAGCTCCTACTCTCTTTGTTTTCCCTGAAGCTGACAATAACTATTCCTTATTGCCTTTTTCAAAAATGTCAAAAACATCTGAGTCGAAGCAAGTTACTATTTTGCTAACTACAAAAATTATTCTATAGAAATATTTATATAGATTTTTTTTTCCTTTAAGAAAGTTTCCTGGCCGGGCATGATACCTCATGCCTATAATCTTAATACTTTGGGAGGCCAAGGTGGAAGGATCACTTCAGCCTAGAAGTCCAAGACCAGACTGGGCAATGTAGTTAGATCCCCCTGTCTCTACAGAAAAATTTTAAAATTGGCCGGGAGTGGTGGTGCACACCTGTAGTCTCAGCTAATTGGGAGGCTGAGGTGGGAAGATTACTCGAGCATGGGAGGTGAAGGCTGTAGTGAGCTGTGATTGTGCCACTACAGTCCAACCTGGGTGACAGAGTCTCAAAAACAAAAAGTTTCCTAAGTAACATATATAATCTGGCATCATACACAAGCTCTAAGTCATCCAAAGCATTACTGTAATTTCATGACCATGTTTAATTTGTTTTTAAAAAGCCAGCCTCCCCTATCTCTATAAAAATATTTAAAAATTAACCAGGTGTGGTGGTGCATGCTTGTAGTTCCAGCTACTCCAGAAGCTGAGGTGGGAGTATTGGTTGAGCCCAGGAGTTCAAGGATGCAGTTAGCTGTGATTGCACTACTGCACTCCAGCCTGGGTGACAGAGCAAGACCCTGTCTCAACAAATAGCAGAGTATTGTGGTGCTTGCTTCCACAGCACATACACTAAAAAACAAAGTATTATGAATTGTCAATATTAGCATACTGTTATTCATATCAAAATGACATATACTGGAAAATATTAGAATATTTTAGTTGTATACACTGGTATCAAGAGTTACATAATTTTTTTTAAATATATTTACAGCTTCCAAAGGCCCTTATTAGTCCTTGTTGACAGAAACATAGATTTGGCAACTCCTTTACATCATACTTGGACATATCAAGCATTGGTGCATGATGTACTGGTAAGAGACTAAATATAGCACTTATTACTGAAATATAGTAACATGCAGTGTTCCCCTTAATTTCAAATTAACGTCATGGCCACAGAAACAAAAATTAGAACGATGGAACTGAAACCTGTGAACAAAACAAGTGATGGTACTGGTCCTGGATGCTGGAAAATAGTGATGCACTGAAGTTTAAAGTTTCATTTATGATCTTTATATAGGATAAACTAGTGGTATTTCTGGCCATGATGGAAAAGGAAACAGTGAAGAAAATGAACTATCTTGTTTAATTTTTAATTTTCAAACTGAATAAGTAAATAAAAGTGTTCTCCCTTAGGTGAAAAGCTATAATTTCTCCCTTTTCTCTGGGAATCAATTAAACCTCATTTCATGGCTTAAAAATATATATATTTTTTTTATGTTACACCATATGTTTTCTGAAGTAATTGCACATATCTGATTTTATGCTCATAACAAAAATTTGTATTTATGCTTGTATAAATTAGCTACTAAATATTGTGTTTAGCATGTGACATACACAGGTGAATACAACAGCCCCAATCTTCAAAGGCAATGAAAGGAACATATGTACACAAATTCTCTGTGAGATACTATGTAATAGGGCCAGAATAGTCTCTATTTGATAGATAGAAGTTAAAATATTTGAAATCAAATTATTGGCTTTGTTAAAACTAACACTCTAGTTTACTAACTCCTAGCTCAGGACTCTAGGGATTATACTGTATAATCATATCATGATTGTAAAGATATGTCATATAAACAGGAAATGAAAGGCTGAGTGCAGTGACTCAGTCCTGTAATCCCAGCACTTTGGAAGGTCAAGGCAGGTGGCTCACATGAGGCCAGGAGTTTGAGACCAGCCTGGCCAACATGGCAAAACCCAATCTCTACTAAAAGTACAAAAATTAGTGGAGTGTGGTAACACACGCCTGTAATCCCAACTACTCTGGTGGCTTAGGCTTGAGAATTGCTTGAGCCCATGAGGCAGAGGTTGCAGTGAGCCAAGATTGTGCCACTGCACCCCAGCCTGGGTGACAGAGCAAGACCTAGTCTGAAAACTAAATAAATGAATGAATGAATGAATGAATGAAATGATAGACATGCAATCGATGATTTGGTGTATTTCGTTAAAATCTGGATATTAGCTTTAAAGTGTTTATTTAAATAAATCAGATTTAGAATTATGCCGTGACTCTAGGATGAGTGTCAAAGTAATAGCAGTCAACTTTAATTCGGTAGAGAAGGCAAGAAGAATCAAAGGGACTCTTCAGTTAAAGCCTGAGTAGTACAACATGGAAGCTGGTTTTAGGAGATCAAGTAAGAGGCTGGGGAGGAGGAATTCAGTTCTACCAATATTTGAGTGCCTATGCTTTAACACAATTTCTAAACCCTGACCTCAGTAGTAACAAAAACAATAGCTTTCTGTCTTTCTAGACCTTACATTCTAGTAGGGAAAACTAGTAATAAACAAAACTTGCAGCATTTCAAAAGGTGGAGTGCTTCTGAAGGACAGTGAAGTAGATAATAGTGAACAAGAGTGAAATTTTAAAAACAGGGAAGACCTCACTGATAAAGTGACATTTGAGTAAAGATCTGCAGGAACTAAGGTCATGAATTATATAGCTATATGGAAAAGAACATAAGCAGAAGGATGACTGATATGTTTGAAAAATGGCAAGGCAGCCAGATGACCACAGTGAAGTGAGGCAGGAAGAGAATAGCAGGATAAAAGTTTAAATAGGACCCAGGAAGCAATATAATATAGGACTCTAGGGATTATAGTATGTAATCATATCTTGATAGTAAAGTGTGGGTCAAGATGGTCAGGGGAGACCTATGTTAATTCTACCTAAATAATTATAAGCTTGATTGGCTCACAGTACACTGAAGTTTATGTACTGAGCTAAACTATATTATTGGTGCAGTTAATTAGAAATCAAGCAGCAAGAGGAGGCCTAAGGTAAAGACCATCCGAAAGCATGGTAGTAACAGTGGGGAACACCTCAGGGTGGTTGCACAGCAGGGAATACTGCTCTGATCCCACAAATGCCTTTTCAACATGGAGTCTGAATGAGGGCCTCGAAAAGAGAGCTTATGGAAAGATCTCTGAGAAGGGAAGGCGGCCTCTGCTCACTAGATCCAGCAGGGTCTTTGCAGATGGGAGCTGGCAAGGAGGAGAAAAGCCTTGCAGGGCAGAGATCATGGAACACCTCAGGCTCTGCCTGGGTTCTTGGAATATGGAGTGATTCTAATTGCTCTATGTCCTCAATGCTCAGGAGATAAAAGCCCCTTGATGCATTGGGTGTGGTCAGACCAGGTGGCTCCTCATCTGCTATACTTCTGTTATAGCCGCACCCTGATAACAATTGGTGGTAAACTCAGAGTACTAGTTTAGCATGTCTTAGAAGGATCTCAAATGCTGTTAAATGCTCGGAGCACTGGTTTAGCATGTTTTAGAAAGATCTCAAGTACTCTCCCCACACTGGCTATCTTACCTACTCCTTTACCCTCCCCTTCCATGCCCATAAGATCAATGTGATTGTGCACATAATAAAAGTGTTTAGAGCCCAGAGCTCGGGCCAAGGCATTTTCCACACTTGTGTTTGTCCCCTGGACCTGTGCTTTAAATTCTACTCTTGTGTCTCTATCTTTGTTTCCTTTTCTCAATCCCGTATTGCCAACGGGACTAAGGGCACCCACATATGAGGTTGGTCTGGTTCCCAACATAAAGGACATTGAAAGGACATTGATTTTAATTGGAGGGAAATGGGGAACCTCGTGGGATTCTGGTATTCATTTTAAGACTGTCACTCTAGCCGTTATATTGAAAATGGACTCCTTGGGGATATAAGAATAACAAGGAGATTGGTTAGAAGGCTATTACAGTTACCTTAGCTGAGATGATAGTGGCTTATACCAGGACAGAAATGTTGAGGGCTGTGATTTTATACTGACTCTAGAGTAGAGGATTTGCTGATGATTAGATGTGGGAGTTAGATGGAGAGAGAGAATTCATCAAAGATGGCTCCAAGGTTTTAGCCTTTGTAAATGGCAAGATGTTGTTGTTTAGTGGGATGGAAGCAGCAGTTTCCCCAGGGAAGATCAGATGTTTAGTTTTGGATATGTTAAATGTGAGATGCCAGCCAGGCTTGGTGGCCGATACCTGTAATCTCAGCACTTTGGGAGGCGGGAGGATCACTTGGGCCCTGGAGTTCAAGACCAGACTGGCAACATAAGGAAACACCATCTTTACAAAAAGTAAAAATTAGTGAGGTGTGGTGGCACACCTACTCAGGAGACTGAGGTAGGAGGATCGCTTGATCCCCAGCAGGTTGAGACTACAATGAACTGTGATCATACCACTGTGGTCCAGCCTAAGTAACAGAGTAAAGACCCCTGTCTCAAAAAAAAAATCAGTAAAGTGAGGTGCTGATTAACATATGAAAATATAAATGTTACGTAGGTAGTTACACAAGTCTGGAGTTCAGGAAAAAAGTCAGGTTTAGGGAAATAAATTTAGAGGTAGTCCATATATAGATGGTATTTAAAGCCAAGAAACAAGGTGAGATCACCAAGGGAATGAGTTTAGATAGAAAAGAGAAGAGATCTGAGAACTGAACTCTGAGACACTTCAACATTCAGAGGTCAGGTTGGTGAATAAAGAGCAGCCAGTGAGATGAGAACTAGATCTGTGTTGTTTTTTTGAAGCTAGTGAATTACGTGTTTCAAAAAGGAAATGGAGAGTAACTGAGGACTAATAAGTCACCATTACTTGTGACAATGTCAAGGTCATGAGGAACTTTGGCAAAAACAGTTTTCATAGTATAGGGACAAAACACTGACTCAAGTGGGTTTAAGAGAGATTGGAAAGAGAAACGTAACAGAGTGAAGTTTTCCTGTAGAGCCGAGAAAAGGGAGGATTTCTGGAAGGGGGATATGAGGTCCTAACTTTTTTTTTTTTTTTGAGACAAAGTCTTGCTGTCACCCAGTCTGGAGTGCAGTGGTGTGATATTGGCTCACTGCAACCTCCGTCTCCTGGGTCCAAGTGATTCTTCTGCCTCAGCCTCCCAAGTAGCTGGGATTACAGATGTGCGCCACCCCACCCTGCTGATTTTTGTAGCTTGGAATGATTTAGTAGAGACAGGGCTTTGCCATGTTGGCCAAGGTGGTCTCAAACTCCTGACCTCAGGTGATCTGCCTACCTCAGCCTCCCAAAGTGCTGAGATTACAAGCATGAGCTACCGTGCCCAGACAGTATTTTTAAATGAGGGAAATTATAACATGCTTGTGTACTAATGGACATGATCAAAAGAACAAAGTTAATGATGCAGGAGATGAGTGTCCTGCAGATGGCATTAGTGAAGCAGTATAGACCAGGATTTCTCAGTCTTGGCATTAATGACATTTTGGACTGGATCGTTCTTCATTGGGGTGTAGGGGGAGCTGTCCTGTGCGTTGTCCAATGTTTAACATCATTCCTGGCCTTGACTCTCTAGGTGCCAGTAGAACTCCGTTGGTTGTGACAACTAGAATGTCTTCACACATCACCAGTTATACCCCAGGTGGCAGAATGGAGCAAAATTGCCTGATTGAGAACCATGGTTACAGGCTGATGACATGAGTTTCAAAGCTAGAGTAGTTTTAGGAAAGAGGGCAAGTAAAGAGTCTGGGAGCAGCAAGGAAGAAAACTAATCCCAGTCTCAGGTCCATTGGTATGAGCTGTGAGAGATTAGAGGAAAAAAAACAAAATGAGGTTCCCTTTGGAGAAGACTGCAAGGGTTAACCAGTAGGAGTTCAATTAAAGCAATGAAAGAAAGGGGAAGAGCAATGAAAGACAGGGGAAATTTTAGAGAGAATGTTCAGAACAGGAGGTTTTGCTGATGCCTGAGTATGAGTTCCAGAGTGATAACAGAATTTCGGGAGTAGGGTAAGAATAGGAGTTGGGGTCTGAGTAGGGTTGGAGGTTAAAGAGCTGTACAGGGATTCATGGGCAT